GAGAGGAGGAGAGAGTTAAGAAAGAGGAGGAAGGTAGGTAGTTCCTGCTGCCGGTCAGCAGTCATCAGAGCCAGATCCACCCTGACCTGCAGGTCAACTCACTAATCAGGCTGAATGACAGGGGGCCACAGGGCTGCGTGCACGTGATTGTGTGTGTGTGTGTGTGTGTGTGTGTGTGTGTGTGCGCGCAACAGATGGAGACTAGGCAGGTTCTGTGTGTCTACACAAGCAAGCTTTGTGTAATTCCTGAAAAAAAAAATATTTTTACACCTCAGAAACGACACAAATATTAGATTTTACACCCGATACATGTTGTATTTAGTTTAATTAGATAAAAAGTAGAATTTTAGATTTGTGTTGGCGTTTATCAGTGAATCTGCCAATTGCATCCCCAGATTCCAGGGTGACCTCTTTAAATGTCTTAAACAGTCTAAAAGCCAAAGATATTCACGCTTTTAAAGATATTTACTTTCATAATGCAACACGGGGATGCACAGCGAAATGTAGTCGAAGCCCATTTGCAACACAGGAAAAGCATGCCAAACAATTTACAGTGATTATATAACAGTAAAAAACATCAAACATTTCTCACATTTGAGATGCTGAAACCAGAGAATTATTTTTTGCATTTTTGCTTGAATATTGACAAATGATTGATTTATTACCCCAATGATTGACTAATAGATTAGTCAACTAATTTGATCTCTAGTCATTAATGAAAATCATTGCTATACATCCCCTCTTTCCTTACCGTGAAGTTATGCACACAGTCGTGTACAGCGCGTGTGTGCAGCTACACAAGCGTGAAGTTGTGTTTGTGCACTAGTAAGGGTCATGTGAGCACAAACGTGCAAGGTGTGCATGTGTTTGTATGCATGTAGCCTGTTTACTTTGGCAGCCGCTTTTCTTTGCTTTTGAGTGTGTGGAGGGAGGTGCCAGGACGGAGAGGGCTATGAGAGAAAGGACTCGAAAAAGGAGGCGAGCGAGGGACTAGAGTGGTGACCCGGCGAGGGTAAAAGCTGGGATTGACTGTCTTAAGTAGAGGGGAGTTTGTGCGAGTGTGTAAATGCAAAAGTGTGTGTTTGCGTGAGTGTGTAAATGCAAAAGTGTGTGTGTTTGCGTGTGTGTGTGTGCATGTGTGATTCATTACTCTCACTGAGGAAAATGAAAAGAAGTGTCTGGCCAGGGGCCCAGAGGGAGGTGGTAGGGACTCTCACAGAAGGTAGAGGGAGAAGTGCACATGCAGTTTGAATGAAGGCGTGTGTGTGCGTTTGTGTGCGTGTGTGTGTGTGTGTGTGTGTGTGTGTGTGTGTGTGTGTGAAAGAGATGCAAAGGAAGAGAGACAAAGTTGTGGAGGTTGCAGAGCCACAAGTATTACAATTCGTCCACACTACGCCAACTAAATTTGATTATGCAAGTTTTTCTCTCTTTGTTTTGGCACTCAGCCGGCATTTTTCTCATCCAAAACATCTAGTCTCCAGCGCGGATAAATCTGACAACTACCTCAATGAGTTTTTGGAAACTTATGTACTGTAAGCTTGGTCAGGGGCTGAATTTGACCTCTTGTTAGACCTCTTATCAAAGCGTTACAGAGCTCGCACTGAAAGGAATCCAAAATGACATATTTGGGATTCGGGAGCGGTAGTGCTGTGTAAATGTACTGACAACACTAGTTCCAGATATAGAGCATATGGAAATTAATTGTATTAAACCACATGTTACAGCTGGAGGCATCTTCTCATAACATATACACAGCATAGAGCAGCAGAAGGGCACCAAACACTCGGCTGAGTTAACCAGGCTGTTGGTCTCACTCCTGGTGTTTAGTTGTGTCCGCACCAAAATAAAACAATGAAGAAGAGATTGAGCTGCTTTCCTATTGTTCAGGTGTTTAAGTGTGGACAGAGAACTTTACAAAGGCTTGTTGTGGGCTTGGTCTTAGATGTACGATTGATTTTTTTTTTTTGTGCGTGTGTGTGTGTGTGTGTAGATCAGGAGGTGGGAGACGGCGGCGTCGGAGCTCAGGGCTTCTCCATAAGAGCTTCTCCAAAGACCACCCCGCGGTGAGTACACACACACACGCAGATGCTCCCCCCCATCCCTCGCCATTTACATTCCTCACTGCCCCCCCCTCCCCTCCTTCACCCATCCCCCTCTCTGGTTTTCCCTCCGCTGGCCCCTCGTCTCCTCTCTCTTCCTCTCACTCCTCTCACTCCTCACACACACACATGCACAATCTCCCTTTCGCTCTCACCCCTACAGGCAATTCTCGCTCTCTCAGCCAACGATAACTTGTGTTTTTGAAGGGGGTAACCATCCTTCAACTCCAGTTAGATTTTTTTTCGTTTCTTGCGTTTAATCACACATGGAGGGACAGTCTGATGATTTTCTGCATCTCCTTCATTGGGGAGTATTTCAATGGATCTCTCAGGATGGGAATATTGATGATACGAATCCATTTTTGCTTGTTTCTTTGTGGAATGGATAATTTCACTTGATGAGGTTGGTTCCAATCAGCATAATTTTGGTCATTTATTTCACTGCACCTGTAATATTTCACAGCTTGTATTTAGGAAACATAATATATATTTGTGGGAAAGGGTTGCATTTCATTTAAAAAGAAAATATTGTAAGAGAAGAATATGGTGTCAAGAGAAAATGACAGACTTTGAATACCTTCAGTAATATGTAGTTAAACAATTTAGTGTCTTAATCGGAAGATAGCTGACACATTTTATTTTGCATTCCACGTGGATGATACTGTGACATTTACACTCAAAATGTGAGTGTATTTAAGTTTGCGGTGTGATTCAACAGTTGAAAAATCTTGCCTTTACCTTCCGTTTTTGTATTCCCCCCCAGCATTAAGCTCTTCGTTTCCCTTCCACACTCTCCTGCTGTCCCTCATTTCCCCTCGTTCACACTAAACAGATTGTCTCAGCACACACACAAAGATTTATCGCATCAAGACAGTCCACTTCCCTCTGTCTTTCTCTCTCGCATGTCCTCTTTCTTCGTCCCCCTCTCTCTCTCTCTCTCTGCCTCTAACACACAGACAGAAAGCCTGGCCCCTTTTCATTAGAGGCCACTGTAACAACAAATTGATGTAGTTTTATAGCCAGCAGTGTCTATGTTTGTCTGACGTTTATGTTGGGTCGTTAATCTCCCCATTGACCTCTCTATCTCTCCCTTTCTATCCATGCTCTCTCTCTCTCTCTCTCTCTCTCTCTCTCTCTCTCTCTCTCTCTCTCTCCTGTCATTCAGCTCTCCCATTGGTGGCCTGCAGATCCGCTATGACTCCTCGGGGTCGTTGCCGGGGCCGGGGCTTGGGTTGCTAGGGGCGGGGGGAGGCGGCGGGGAGACGCTGCCCCCGGTGGCCACCAGCATCGAGCAGCTCCTGGAGAGGCAGTGGAACGAAGGGCAGAGCTTCCTGCTGCAGCAGGGAGCGCAGGGAGACGGTGAGAGCGCACATACACACACACACACACACACACTAAAACACACCTGAACACACACACCTGAACACACAGGGCTGGGTATCATTTGAGGTATTTTTATTGTAGTGTTGACTCTCTGCACCGATACCAAAGCAATACTATTTGAATATAATCCTTTGAGGAAAAACGGAAGAGAAAGTTCTCAACAAATCTGACAAGAGCCAGCTTTCGGTACTTGTTGCACATTTCTGTCCGGACCAGCAAAGTATTGAGGTCCGATACCCAGCCCCACAGCTAATCAATGTTTCCTCCTTCCCCACTTTGCTCCATTTATCTTGATCTATTACCCTTTTGCCTTCTCTGGCTCCCTCTTTTCAGTCACTTTCTCAGGTTATCTGTTATTGTCAATTACATCTTCCCATCTGAACATCCCTTCAGGGATACAAAAAGTGTTTAAAAAAAGGGAATGCGGCCTAGTTGTCATCCTTCATCTGGACTTTAGGTTTAAGTTCCTGTGTGTGCAAATTGTCCACCTCCTCTCCCTGCTCACTGAGTTGTCCTTGTCGCTGAGTCTGCACAGGCACCAGGGTCCCTGTTCTGTAGCTGATCTTGACCTCTGACCTCCCTGTGGAGTGCATCTGACCATCAGTTACTGGGTATTTTAAGTAGTGTGGAGGCTTAGCAGAGTTGCATGGTTTTGCCTTAAGGAAGCATCCGCCTTTCAGAAAGTCAGAGCATCTGTGTTCTTGCCTGTGGAAAAAGATCACCCCAATACAACTTCTTCCCAAAAGCACAAAACATCACATCTGAATTTGAATAGCCTGTGACAGGGTGACTTTAATTATTTCAAAGTTAAATATACATTTTCTCTCACACACAGAGAGACGACAGTAAATCAGAGCAATGTGTTTTAGCTGGAAGCAGAAAGTGCTTCCCTCAAATATTCTAATCAATCTATCGTGTCCCCCTTCATCACTCTCTGCGTCTCTTTCAGTGCTGGGCATGTTGAAGTCCCTCCACCAGCTGCAGGAGGAGAACAGGAGGCTGGAGGAGCAGATTAAAACTCTGACCATGAAGAAAGAGAGACTGCAGCTTCTCAGTGCTCAGCTATCAGTGCCTTTCACCTCCAGCATGGCCTCCTCTGGTACACACACACACACACACACACACACACACACACACAGAGAGAGAGAGAGACACAGGGACACACAGACCGATACTAGAATTGAAACAGTTAGTCAGTTAATCCATTAGTTGGTTGAGAGAATACAATCCTACATCTTTGATAACTAAGTGATCATTGCAGTTGTTTAATCACAAGGCACAATGGCAAATATTTTCTGGCTGCAGCTTCCCAAATGTGAAGATTTTTTGTGTTTCATATATGATTTAAATCAAATAGTCTTCAAAATAAGACTTTTTATGACGTCACCCTGGGTGCCCAGCATTATTTTTCTGACCTTTTTTTAAAGACTTAATGATGAAAACATAATCAGCCGTATTTGTGTTGCAGATATGAAAGGAGGCCATCTGGGAGCCACTGACTCATCATTACCTGTGGCAGCTCAGGTAAGAACAAACACCCGGCAGTCAGTTTAAATCAGTTTGCATCAGCACAAAGTCGAGCACTACGATACAAGACAGAGCAGTGACACATCATTAATGTAATAACAGAATAATTAAGTCAGGTTCAGTAAAACCAGCATCAGACGTTCAAGTTTAGTTATGTGAGGTAATGTCATGCTTGTACACCTCATTACACGGTGAATTAGATGAACTACATTTGTGATTAATTATTAATGTTTCTCTCGCTCTCGCTCGCTCGCTCAGGATGGTGCTTCATGCGGTGGCCACAGCAGTAGTGGCTCCACCTCATCTCTCTCCACCCCTCCCTCCGTCTCCCAGAGCCCGCCGCAGCTGAACGGGCTCTCTGCCGTGGGATCAGCCCCAGCCCGGCTGGCGGGGCTGATGGGTGCTCTGGGCGCAGGCGGTGGGCTGGGCATGGCGGGAATCGTCGGCGCGCTGAACGGGGTGATCCAGACACCGGTGGGCACCGGCAGCCCCCACGCGCACACTACAGGAGCAGCTATGGGCATCACGTTGCCCGTTAATAATGGGTACGTCTGATGGCTGCTTCATTAACTGAATGACAGGAGCAAGTACAAAGTTATGCTCAATAATGCTAAATGGTGTGTCTGGTGACCGGAAACCATTTTTTTTGGAGATTTCAGCCCCTTTGTCACCACATCTTAAAGTACTGAATACACCACAATCATTCCTAGTGTCAGGGAACATACGTGTAAGATGTTTGAATGTGAGCTTTATTGCGTCCTCTCCTTGGTTTTTCCTTTTGCTTGCGTGTTGGATTCTTGCAGCCCACCAACTAGTAAGAGCAGGTGAGACAGAAGTCGATTCAGCGTCACAACTACCTGCAGCGCTGTTTCCTTCCCCGAAGTCTGTCACAAGAGATTGTTGTGTCGCATGTTTTCTGTAGTTATGTGAATTCAAATATATGTAATTTTCTTGCTTTTTTTGGCAACTGAAATTGACATTTAAGATTAATTTTCTTTTTAAATAGTAATTCATGTAAAATGCTCCTTCAGTATCCAGTTCATGAGCTGTTGTCATATGTATGTTGCATTCAGCAGCTCTGGTGATGTTTTGAAAGTGTGTGTTAAGATGTATTGTGTCTCACTGCGAGTTGTGTCTTTGCCTCTTCAGCGCTGCGCGGCTCGGCCTGCTCTCTGAGCAGCACAGACTCCTGCAGCAGCATCAGCTCCAGCAGCTGCTGTCCTCACAGCCTTCAGCGGTACACCATGCACACACACATGCAATGGCAGGCTTGCAACTATTCACTGCCATCACCACTATCGCACACAGTTAAACACACACAAAGACACTGAGCTACAATTTTCCTTTGGACAATGCCTAAATCACCGAGCTTATTAACTCTTCTTTTTTCCTTTATTCCCTCCACTGCTCACCCCACTTTCCTTTTCTATTTTGTCCTTCTTATCCAACTCTCATTTCCCTTTTTTGTCCAAAACTTTCACTTTATCCATATTTTTCTCCTGCATTTTCCTCTGGCTCTCTCCATTTCCTCCTTATTTCATCCTCTCTCCCCTCCTTCTCTTTTTGCTTCCTCTTCCTCTCTCTCCCTCTCTCCCCCCCAGGAGCAGCAGCAGGTGTTGCTCTACCAACTGATGCAGCAGCAGCAGGACCTCCAGCAGCTGCAATCCCTCTCCTCCTCTGCCCAGATTCCCTCCATCCCGCTCTCCTGCCCTCAGCTGCCCATCAGCAACCTGCTGCCCAGCGCCCAGGGCCAAGGCGCCATCACCGCCAACCCCTTCCTGGCAATGCAGCACGCACATGCTGACACACACGCCTCGGGGCCACAGAAGCCGCGGCTAGCCGAGAAGGCCGTGGGCGTCGCGGGGCAAGAGAAGACATGACGGCAGATGCCCTTTATGTTTTGGTTGTCAATGTTTTTGTTTTGTTTTTCTGAATAAATATGCAGAGTCTTCAGGAGATCGGCCTGTTGGTCAACTTTGTGGTTCAGTGATGAGAACCAGTCACCAGCTCACTGTAGTTGACCTTGTCAGGTTTATTTTGCTACTTTTTTCAGGTTACAGTCTTAACATTTTGTCTTCATTTGTACTATTTATGTCCATCCAATTTTAGATTTATTTTTTTAGATGCTTTAGTGCTGCTTCAGGTTCTTATTTTGTCATAATAATGATTTTCATTTGATATCACTGGTAGCAACTTAGCGTGTGAGTAAATAAGCACATGTTGTGTTTGATCTCTTCTCTCAACGGGAGAGTTGACAAACGGGTCAGCCTTTATCTTCAATGAGTTTCTCTTCATATTTTCTTCCATAATCTCATCATCCAGCTTCTTCACATTTCTTCTTTCTCTTTTTGCTGTGTTGTGGTTTTAGTTTTTTTTTTTTGTTGTTTTTTTTTGGTTTTTTTGCATCATTTCCTCTCTTTTTTCCTTTGTCTTCCTATTTTCTCTGCTTCTCCATCCTCCACACTAACAACCATCTCGGTCTGGTCTCTCTGCTGTCTCACTCTCTCAGGGGCCTCAGCTCACAAGCACAGAAATAAAAACATAAAAATAACAAATACATGTATGTAAAAAAGAAACTACAGTTCCCCACCACAGGACTTAACAGTAGCAGATGTATGTTTGACATCTGTCTCGCAGCACTCGCGAGGGGAATATTGGGTGAGAGGCTTGTGAAAATATCCGACATGTTCTCGCCGTTGCCTCTGTCCTCTTTGTCTTTCACTGTTTGTGTAGATCCATTAACGTCAGTGAGCCAAGCCTCATACAGTCACTGCAGAAGCCTTGCTTTTGACTGTCTCTTCTCTGGGCCAGATACAGGCGGCTCACTCAGGGAAGTGAAATGTAAAAAGGAAGGAAAAAATAAATAATAGCAAGTTGAATGTTCAGATGGATGCATTAATCCACACGGCACGGACTCACAAAGAGATATTATACAGTTGGTTGTCGGCACGTGGAAGTCGTTACATTTCATCTTCCTGATTGAGCCCCCTGCTGCACCTACCTCTCCAGCAGGACCAGCCTATCGGGACCTAAACAGGCCGACAGCAGCGGCAGCTACAAACCCACAACCATGAGGACTGGCCAATCAGGGTCCAAACCCAAGTGCCTGAGGCCAAGGTGGGAAGGTGGGATTTGTTTCCGTTTACCTGTGTCCCGGTCACTCAGCCCGATTCCTCACAATGCTACTGGTAATGACGCTGCGTAGCTAAAGCAACAGATTACAAAAGGACTTGATGTAATGTCAGGCTGGACGTGCAGTCTCTAATAAAACCAGGAAATATTCTGCTGCATTCTCTAATATCGAAGCCAACTTTGTATTGTGCTTTTTATTTATTGGGAGTTTGTTTGTGTAATGGGCATACGATGATATATTTTAACAGCCTGCTGGTGTTGCAACTTAACATCATTTTGTACTACTGTGTAAAGTTTTGATTATTTTTTTTTTTTTTTTTTTTTTCCTCACAGTCAAATCTTGCTGTAAACCCATTTAATGAATTCTATTCTGTGTTGTGTTTTGAAAGCTACTTGCTACTTGATTGGGGAGGGGGTGTGGTTGTATATAGCTGTAGGAGGGAGGGCGTGTGTCACGGGGGAGTTCAGTGGCACAGTTTTTACCTCGTTAAGTGTACATAAACCTTTCTCATTGGCCGTTGGTGTACATTTGTGATTAGCTGTGCTGGTGTGAAGGAAAGCCAATGAAGCCTCAATTTGTGTGTGTGGGTGCGAGTGTGTGTGTGTGTGAATCTTTAGGACCAGACAAAAAAAACATGGTTGACCGTGACTGGGGACACAAAGTATTAATTTATTTTTATATGTGCAGGGACATTGTTTCTTTTTTAAGTTTTGCAGCATTTTCTTGATGAGAAGTCATTTTATACTCTGCACCGTGTTTTCATCTGTGCACACATTTGTTTGGATACATTTTGTACAAGTGGGAAATATTGGAAAGTGGGGGGGGGGGTGTCTGACGTATTTCGAAACACCAAAATAAAGAAACACTATGGATAAAGTAACAGGAGCATTCTGTCTTTGTATCAAGGAGGTTATTAACAATATACATTAGACGGAATTGTTTTTCCTTAAAATATGAAGGTTTTTCAATTACATTTTTTTTAATTAAACCTGAATTAATACTAAATATGCTGACGCATTAGATAGTTTTTTTAATTTGTGATTCTCTATTTAATATATATATATATAGTTTTTTTAATTTGTGATTCTCGTTTTAATATATATATATATATATATATATAGTTTTTTTTAATTAAAAAAATATGCAAATAATTTATTTTCAAAACATGTTTATTGCTGACAGAAGGTTGGTGTGGATCTTCTTAGTTATAGTAGTAACACTATCCGTTTATTAATCTTGAAGGCATTGAATATACAGACATGCATATATGCACGGAACATTCATTTTATCTTGTTTGTTTATTTGACAGGAGATAAAGGAAAAACTGCAAATGAGCCAAAGTTTATTTTTCATCCATCTAGATGTTTAAAAGGCAATCTAAAATAGTTTTAAAGTTAATGTATACAACATATAAATATGCACAAAATAGAACAGTAGACTTCTACCAATAAATAATACCTCATAATAATACATGGCAGTTTGCTACAATCCTTACCTATTAAATAGCATGCTTTTTTTCTCCTCTGATCAAATATATAAATCATGACTGCAGATAATAAGAGGGTAAATAGGCAACTATTAATATAAAGTATGTTTTATTTAAAGTTAATTGACAATGTAAATTGAGATGGTATGTGTACCTGGTTCATATTATACTGCATTCATTATGTTGAATATTATGGAAGAGATGGCAGCAGCAAGATGTGATTTATTCAGTAACAAGGGGGAGGAAAATGAATAATCATCAAGTGCCAATAGAAGCTGAACATCTTTAAATTTAAACAATGTGCTTCAAGGCTCCTGTCCTAACAAATATGCACACACACCCCCCAAAGCTGATGACTTCCAGCTGCCAAGAAACAACCAGTGTGTGTGTGTGTGTGTGTGTGTGTTTAGAGGTGGGGGCACCATTCTGCTACATCTGCTTCTGCCCTGGTAATTAAAAGCTCACTTTCCTCCTGCACCCTTGCTCCCCCCAAAATACCCCCCTCCCCACCCTTCAGGAGTACCCCCTCCTCACACACACACACACACACACGAACAATCTAACCTGCATTCAACAACACAAACCCCCCCCCTTCTCTTCTCTTTTCCCAAGCACTTGCTCCCTCACCCCCCCCCCCCCCAAACCCCCCCCCCCCCGCCCCCCCCCCCCCCCTCTCCGCTCACTATCAGCCCTGTCAATCAAAGCCACGCTGTTTAAACAGCTCATACCCCACATCCACCACGACCCCCACCCAGGACCTTCTCTTTCATAAGCCTCCACCATCGGAGCTGCCTCCCCTCCACCCCCGGTAATAGCAGCACCACACACACACACATACACACACACACACACACACACACACACACAAAGGGCAGAGCTGCTGTGTCCATCATCGATCACACTCACCCAGAAACCTTCCCCGAGGGTGGGAGGGCTTACCAGCTGATGGAGGACCCCCGTGTGCTGCCCAACCAGGTGCCTGATCACAAAGTCAAAACACTACTAAGCCCTGGTGTTAGTAGACAGGAGATCGCTCTCTCACGCGCACACACAGCCTCACACACACACACTGAGCAGATAGCCGGCCAGCAGGAGGGTTAAGCTCTGGATGATTAGGCAAATGTTGGGCCGATATCTCTAGTTTCAGAGGCGAGCTGAGCTGCTGTCACTGAGGAATGCTCTGCAGCAACATAAATACCTGCTTCTGACTGAGCAGGTTATGTACCTTTTAGTCGCTGCTGTCTAGTATTCATTCTCCTGCTTCCAAATGAAGCATTTCAATGTTTTTGCGTCTTTCAGAAGCAACAAAGCAGGAGGAAAAACCTGCAGCCAAGAAAGCTTGAAGCAGAGTGAAACCACAGAGAATAAACCTTGATTTGATTCTGGATTTTATTTGTCCTGATTGTATCTATAGAAAAACTAATTACACACATTTAAATGATTTATCTTCACACACAAATAACTGCATTTACAAGTCAGGCACAACAACGTTTTGTTATAAATAAGATACATCGATCTTGAATAAAGACAACTTAAATAAAAACACAAGGAGATAAATAAATACAAATAAAATCTTAGAAAACAACAGAACAGAACATCTTGAAGACAAAATCTAGTTTTAAAAAGTTTTAATTACTGTTACATGAGCCACGATAACAACCACGTATGTCAAAATTGGGTGATTTAGATTCTTTTGAATAAATAGATTCAATGCTCCTTTATCAATTGAAAAAAATTATCCTACTCCTTATTAAATAAACCATTAAAAAAAACACCTATCTGAAAAATGCATTGTCAAAGATCCTGAGAAGCTGCGGTTTGGAGATGCATGATTTTCAACATGATTTTCAAATACTCACAGTATTTGTTGCCATCATATTTCCCGACAAACTCAGAGCAGCTAAGACGTCACACGCAGAAAGGAAAGCAAAACCATAAAACAGGTTAACCAAGTGCCATGAGTAATTCCTACACAGGTTTTGGCATATGTTTGGTAATTCAGTTAAATTATTTAATTACACCTCAGCCTCAAAGAGAGAGAGCAAAGAGCAATAAAGCCGAGAGAGGCTCCGGTGTAATAAACCATCAGCAGGAGGAGGCAGCCGCTGATGTGTACAGTAATAACGCAGTGTAAATCATCACAGAGTGGCTGCCATTAGAAGCCTTAATCCTGACCAGAAACCTGCAGTCAGCTGCCAGGGGCCCTGATCCGGTGCAGAGTGGAACCAGATCCGGCGAACAGAGGTGTTTTAGGGCCAGGGCAGGAGGAAGAGGAGGAGGAGGAAGGGTGCAAGGAGAGTGAAGAGGGAACAGCTGAGGAGATTCCCAGGGTAAGTGTGTGGAGGGTGGTGTGTGTGTGTGTGTGTGTGTGTGTGTGTGTGTGTGTGTGTGTGTGTGTGTGTCTGCCCCCCACAGGTCTCTCTCCTGTAGGATAATGGTAGCGAGGAGAAGCAGCAGCAGGATTCAGCCTCATCCCTCTTCATCCTCAGATAGCTCGTATTCTTCTGCTGTGACGCTCCCATGTCACCCCCCTCACACACACACACACACACACACACACATGCACATAGCCTACACATCCTTCACAGGACCTTCTCTTCGTCTCTCTGTCTCCCAGTTCAATGACACCTTGGAGCTTCTTGATGCACATGCAGTGACTGAAGTATAAATACAAAACTTTACCACCATTAATTCCTTTATTTTGAAAGTCTAGTCCGGTCAGTGTTGTTTATGTATCCACATATGTATCTATTCTGTACAATCTACAACAACACACTGTCTGTCCCTATAGGCTGTCAATACAGAGAAGGAAAAACTCCCCATTAGGAGTGTTTGAGTCATTCTGTACCACACCAGTGCAGTTTACATCAATACAATTCAGCTGTTTTACAATAATCACTTACCCTAATAACACCCTATAATACACGAATCCGTATAGCTGAGGTTGTCCTTAGCATTGATGAATAATTGCAGCTGAGAACCAATTACTGAAAATATAGAATAATTACAAGAAAAACTGCAAACAATTATGAACAAAATGTAACATATTTAAATATATTAATTTAGCGGAATAATAAATAAAAAAAACTCTGTATATCAATTTGGCTACCATCAGAGGAAAATGGCTAAACTCCAAACAGATAAATACAAATTAAAAAAAATCCCCAAATACATAACAGTAAAAAGTAACTCTATGTATTTTATTTATATTTTAGATAAATTAAAAGGTTATTTCAAATGTTTGAAAGACGTCTACAAACAAAGAAAATATAGGCTAAAAAGTAATAACGTATTTTGTTTATAGAAAGGCAGAATAAATCGTTCAATCACAATACATGTTTCTATATGTTGGACGCCAAATGCGGGGGAAATGTTGCTGCAGCCAATAGCCTAGTTTCAGTAAGCAGTTCGTCGCCCCGGCGTAAAGCAGCCTCTTCCCGGGACTCAGCGGCTCCTGCTCCGCTTGCCTGCCGCGGGTAGTGAAGCGCTGCGCGGCCATCGAGCCGATCCTCCCCCGCTGTCTGCGGCTCCCACTGCTGGCGAGAAGAAAGGAGCTCCGAAAAGCCGCAGACAAGCGGGGAGTATAACTTTACTGTGCGCCAAGAGCGTATAGGCTACATTCTCAGCGGTGATGGGAGGGGGATTTAAATACGCGATCGCGTGTTTTCTGCTATTCCCCTTTGAAAGGGGAAATGCAGCTCTGCAGCAGAGCCCGTCTCTACTTCAGGGGACAGTTCACAGCAGCAGCGCTGGCATTTACGTTAGGCTACCGTGTTTATTTGATCAGAAGCTGACTCATGTAAGAGCGCCAGCACACCGAAAAGCATGTCAAATGTTGCATAGAAAATAATTATCACACTCTCCCCCGAAAATATTTAAGAAGAAATATTGTTCCAGAGAGCGATTCGACTCTGGCGTGTATTGTGGTATTTTCATAGCGAGCATGTAGCCTAATGCACATAGCATAATATTCTTGTATATTATAACATACATGTAGCCTACGTTAGAGTTTATTGTAAAATCATGTTTTGAATTATATTTTCGTTTATGATTATGTTTTTGTGACCTCCTACAGTATACCTTACATATATTTTATAATGTTGATCAATTGACTTGTAGGT